GAACACCAGCAGGCTTGATTAAATACTGACTTCTCTAGGGAGCTTGTTCCAGCTCTTGACCAACCTCTCAGTGAAGAGGAATTTTCCTAATACCACCCTGTGGTGCAGCATCCAAGTGCCAAAGCAGATCTGGATGGGAAGAAATTCGGGTATTTGGAACATCAGGCCTTTTTTGTTTTCCTCTCCTGCATGGACAATCAACCCTTGCCAGAGCTTCTCTGGACTTTGTTGTTTCAGTGTTTCTAGTTGGCAAGAACAAACAATAGGGATATGCTCTCTGAATCCGTAATTAGAAACATTCATTTAATAAGAGAGTAAAGTACAGATATGACAGATATGACTTCAGCCAATATATCTTGCCTGCATATCACATCCATGAATCTGTACTATCTTCCTATCAAGACATGCATGAAAAATCAGTAGCATCCTATCCACACATCAAAATTACATAATCATGTGTATGTCATATCCTTAACAGTGAGAATTATGTCTTCTCTTCCTACTTCCATTCCCTATGCTTGTCTTGTTTCTTTTTTTTTTTCCCAATAAATTCCAGTTTTCTCAAAAAAAAAAAAAAAGTATTATGTTTCTGTAAAGCAACTATGGTTGCTGGTCTGTGTAAAGTATCTATGGTTGCTGATCTATGTTAAGTCAGCGTCTCCCATGGGTACATTTGTTTTTATAAAGTACTTTGCACTCAGAAATTCAGATGATGTAATGACTATTCCATGTTCTTAGTGTGTTATGTAGGGAAACATAAGCCATTTCCTCCATTATTTATAAAATAACAGAATGACCTGTGAATGCATATGTGTACAATGAAGTAAATTCAGATTTCAGTATTCAGCAACTACTACCATCTGGTACATTTTCACTTGCACCTTTCCTGAGCTGCTGATGAATACATCACCATTCCAAAGAGGGTGCTTTGTTTAAAGTGCTGACTTGCAGCATTTCCAATTTTGTGCTGGGCAGGGAAAACATAAGCACACTCCATTCCCTCATCTTTCTATAGCAGACTTACATTTGTGACTGTCCTTAATGTTCCTGAAAAGAGGGCATAGCTGTTAGCTGACAAACAAATGTCTTAACTGAAACCAGAGGATTCTTTATGCCAAAAGAGCATAGTTCCAAGAGGAACCTATCCAGAGGAGTCAGATGCTTCACTAAAATGTATATTAAAGATAATTTTTGCACTCCTAATCTTAGGCAAAAGAATTATGAAAAAATGGATCAGTTTCATACGTCAGCAAAGGCTGTCCAGCAGTTTGAGTTAGATAATAATAGACTTGTTCTGTTTCTGAATATAAACACTCACCTTACACCTGACAATCAGGAAAAAAAAAAAAACAGCTGGCAGCAAAAGTGTAAGGTACTAGAAAATAGGAACTCCAATGAACACCATAGTGATGCTGGCTTCTATGGCAATGGTATTTGACATATGCAGAAGGAGAAAGCAGGGCTGAGAACTAAGCACTGCTTCATATGCATAGTTTTCAAAAGTGTATTATTTCTACACCAAATGCTTCTGGACAGATTATACAGATCAGTCAGGCCAAAACTGTGTGAGCGACTTCACTATAGCACCAAAGCAGAGGGATATGAAATACTGATAGTACTAAGGTCCACAGATTACTGGCTAGCTGAAGGAGCCATCATCTCTTAAGGCTATTGTCTTGTTGCCCTAAAGGCTTTCCAGCATTGACGACAACACAGGAAATTAATAATAAAAATTAAGGCTGCCAAGGGAAGCAGAATACTAAAGTATGTGATTGACCATTGTTATTTTTTACACCTGTGTCAGCCTAATTGACAACTAGTGCTGTGTCCTTTCTTTTCCAATGCTGCAAAGAAGTCACTGCCAAAACAACAGCAGAGCATCTATCATTATTATTTCTGGTCATCTTCTTTTCTATGGTACAATGACCAGGGATTATAACTACCGATATATATATATATAACCTTGTTTATCAGAAACCATGGCATTTCAGGTTACCAATCCACACAAATGAGTTAATTTGCACTCCCTTTTACCTTCTTCAGGGAAAAAGCCAGATTGCATTGTGTTGTGGTTTAAGCCCAGACGGTAATTCAGAACCATGCTCATTCACCCTCTTCTTCCTCCCCCCACTCCTGGAGGGATGGGGAGGAGAATCAAAAGCATGTAACTCCCATGGGTTGAGATAAGAACAGTCCAGTAACTAAAGTATAACACAAATCACTACTGCTACCATCAGTAATAATAATGATAAGGGAAATAACAAGGGAAGAGAATACAACCACCCACCACCTGCAGACCGATACCCATCCCAATCCCAGCAGCAATCTAGCCCTTCTGGGTAGCTGCCCCCAGTTTATATACTGGGCATGATGTGCTGAGGTATGGAATACCTCTTTGGTTAGTTTGGGTCAGGTGTCCTGTCTCTGCTTCTTCGCAGCTTCCCCTCCTTCCTGGCAGAGCATGAGGCTCTGAAAAGTCGTTGGTCAGAGTAAACATTACTTAGCAACAACTAAAAACATCGGTGTTATCAGCGCTGTTTCCAGGCTGAAGTAAAAACCACAGCACTGCACCAGCTACTAAAGAGAAAAATGACTGCTACTGCTGAACCCAGGGCACACTGCAGTCTTGCACTGAGGGAGACATAGTAGCAGCAAATATTTCGTGGCAGATCAGCAGGGATTCACTTCCAGGCCCAAGGTAGAAATTAGACGGTCTCAGCCAACCATATTTCAATGCCTCGTGACTGAACAGAAAATCAGTAATTGAAGATAATTAGATGTTTAAAGGTGTAGGCATCTGATGTATTTTAAGTCGCTTTTTCTGAATACTGGGAAGCTCAGTGGGTAAGAAGGAGATCAGCAACTATTACATTCAGATAACAAACCACAAATTGATTAATTATTATTTTTTACTTCTTTTTCCTCTTCTGCTTAAAGGAAGAAGAGCTATGAAGCAAGTTTGAGAGCAATCATTGTCAACACTAAAGGGTTCTCTTTCTATTTAGTATAAGAGGGAATTTTAAACACCTTCTGTCTGGGACACTGCCATAATGCTAGCATCAGTATTATAGTTATAATCACTATACATTGATATACATTGAGCTATACATTCATGTTTTTTCTAAGCCTGAAATCTCAGCTTCAAGTAAGCTTGTTAGGAGCAGCCGGTTAAATCTTCACTAGAATAAATCACTAGTTGTCTTTTACATGGTTTTACTACTTTCGCACTGATGCTTTACCTGCATACATTCCTCAGAAGCTGGTAGCAAAGTTGATAAATGCAACAGGAGGCCAAGACCACAAAAAGTAGTCAAAACTACAATTACATTGGTCATAAACTGGTGAATCCCTAAGAGACATCCCCCCAGATTTGTTGCAAGTCTTGTACCCAACAACAGTATTAGCTTCAGTCTAACCCTGGAAATTAACCTAACATCACTTAGACAACGTCATTTGTTTGAGGTAATTAATACATTTGCTTTCATGATCTGGTTCCAAATATGAATTACAGTAACAGATTTTTTAAAAAGGTAAATAAAATTTTGGTTTCACTACCTTGGCAGCTGAGGCATACTGCTCTGTTCCTTGGATATGTGTAAGTCCTTGTAGAAAGCCAGATCAATAGGGAACTACCATTGTGCTGTCGATGTGCTGCTTTTCTTTTTACTTTTCTGTAAATCCTTCACAGGCAAACAATGTGTTCACAGTGTTAAAGGATCAGACAGCTTCCTGGAGGTCATTTAGTGCATCTCTCTAACCAAGGAGCCATGATGCATTTTGTGTTCAAACTCAGCTGGACTGTGCAGTGCAGAAATGCCACAGGCAGTGTGAAATACAAACACTGAATGCTTGTCTCTATAAACTGACAGGTGTCTGGGGTATGCAAGGAAGCTTTGCTAAATTCTGTAATGAATTTATAATAGAAAAATGTAACAAATGCAACAGGTAGAGGAGAAAACAAGTTGATTTCAGTTGGACAGCCAAACATATAATAAAGGAAAACATAAGCAATCTCTAACTGGCTTCTGCTTTCCATCTGTCCACTCAGTGAAAAATGTTAAAGTTACATCTGGCTAAATGGTCAAAGGTGTCTATAAAAACAGCTTAGCAAGAAGAGGAGCTAAGATACACAAAAAATTTCATTACACATACAAGACATTTCCATAATTTATAATTTATCTCTACATTACCTAGAAGCATGTATAAACATGTGCACAGCTATCCATCCACAGATCTATGTCAGTTTGTGCTAGAACTTCATTTTCTGATACTGGCCAAAGGAGAAAATATCTTTTCCCATCCAGAATGGGCTTCCAGTTGTTCTGCCTGGTGCCTAAGTTCCTGTTCATCAAAAACTTCCTACACTTAGTCCTACCAGACCTGACACATTTTGAAGACCCTCCCTAATCTGTGATTTTGTAAGATATGGTTATCCTAAAGGGAACCTAAATAAGGCAAAAATATACTGACTGAATTGCAGCTCTGCAAAGGGCTGGCTGAACTCAAACACAATTCAGACCACTTTAAGTCACCAATCCATCTTCAAATTCTTTTGTTCTCCAATAAGCAAATGCAAAATAATTATAAGTAGCCTTTATATAATCCACCTTCATATACAAAGAGTAAACACACAGTTTGAATTGCAATTACTCAGATTTTAAGTTGAAAGAACAAGTGGAAAAAAGAGAAAAAACACTAAACAGCTTCTAAATGAACTTTTCATTAAACTGAGCAAAACATAGCTTCCCATTCCTGCAAAATAAGGGCCATTTAAATGGCAACATGTCACATTAAAAATATAAAGTTTTAAAGTAATGGTACAACTGGTTTATAAAACATTAATTTCTTAGCACTTCAGCTAAGGTTATCTCCAAACCATGACTTTTTGTAGTGCTTCCCTTCAAAGGGAGCTATAGCTCAAGACAATTTTGACACTGAAAATGGCATGCAGTGCAATAGCCTCGTAGCAGTGCTTTGCCCTGAGAGTACATTATGCTTACCTTCTTGGACCACTGTCAGTGAGTTTACAGGTGAATTTCAAGTGCTTTTTCATCTGTAAAGTTTGGAAAGTTTATCAGCAATTCAGAACAGAGCTGTTTCTTTTTCTATTCCATTTTGCATACCTATCAAGGATCAAATGGGACAGTTCAGCAAAGAATAGCACTGATGTACTTGGCAGCTGATAAAGACGTCACCTCATAGATATAAAAAAATACAAAACCAAACTTTGGTGGCAATACATAAAACCATTAAAACACCTACCTTATAAATTCAATGTTGCCTTCCATTACATGAAGCATCTAATACCATTTATTAAAAGTACAATCAATATAAAAGCTCTCTTAAAATGCTCTTTGAAAAAATTGAAAAGTTACATATTCATTAAGGATGCACATATAGGTATGATAGCTGCAAGCTGTTAGTTCCTGGGACACAATAAGATCTTTCAAAGTGCATAATCAGAAATATATTTTGTATGAAAATAAAATATGCATGTTCAAGGCTCATTGCCTGCAAGAAAAAATTTCTTCTGTAAGAAAAAATATTTATATGTACAACCTTTCCCTGCTCCTCCTCCCACAAATAAAAAGACCACCTGAAATAATTTGTCCAACACTAAAAAACCGCAATGATTCACGTACCAGGTTTCAGTTGAATGCATTTTTAAATGGCTGAGTTATAAACCCCTTGAAATCAAGTTTTATAATAAAATGCTCATAGACCCTTAACTTTAATGGCTCTTCCAAGGGCTTCTGGAGCAGGCTTTACTTACAATGTCATAAAGTGACGTTTAAAACACTACATAATTTTCTCAAGGCAGATAAGCAGGTGTTCAAGAGGGCAGCACAATTTAAACTTTGCTGATTTATGGGACATGCTGCATGAAAGGCCAGTAAACTTTATGGAAGCTCACTGCAGAAACCCCAGACTCTAGTACACACAGTACCACCTTTGTCTGAAGAGCACCAATATATATAAATGTTCATGTTGTCATATTTGAGCTCCTGCACTTTGTACATGTTACTAATAGTGAAATATACACCTCACCTCACAGGGTAAGCCTCTTTTCACTGTTATACTTTGCACAGAGGACTGAATGTAATAAAATTCATCACTCAGCTACTTCTCATACACTGTAGTGAGTCACTTGGTACCCAGGTCTCTTACTGTTACTCCGGCAACACTATTTCTGACCCTTTCAAGAGTTGAAAACTAAGCCACTTCCCTCAGACTTCTTTGAGCAGAATTAAAAGCAGAGATATGTCAAAATTTACCTGCTATATTACCAGCTGGTCAAAATCATCCTTCTGAAAGTCATTTCCTCTCAGAAAAGCAACCAATAAGCCATGAAGCTACTTGATGTAATTGATTAGCATTTTCTGCTTGTTAACACACACACACAGAGTCAATAATCTTATGGCAATGGGGCTCAGCCTTAATGATGTAGTGAGACTGTAATTTAGACAAAACTAAAAAAAAAAGCAAACAAAAAAGCCACTATTATCTCTCAATAACAAACTCTATTAAACAAAATTAGTAGTAAGAAAATAGAAGACCATCCCTGCTTAGGCTGTAGTTAGTGCTGGAATACCTGATACATGTGGATAATTTTTTCCATTTTCTCTTAAAGAATCAACGCAGCTCTTGTCGCATACTCAACCTATATTTCTGGTGCTACAGGAGAGAATACCATCAGCTCCATACTGATGCATAAATAGTAACACAAAAGTTCAGTGAGAAAAAAAAAAGCTAGGTTACTATCCTGGTTCAATTACCCTCAAAATAAGTATAAATACTTTTGGTCTGGGGGAGAGGGTGAGGTTTAAGAATTTTTTCAAATCACTTTACCTGCACATTGATATAATTTTAAGAAACCTAGACAGGGTCATGTGAAAATTGAAAAGTATATGCACCAACAAAGGCTAGTTTCCTAGTACATGGGATTTACACTGAAAATAACAATACATTACTTTCTATTGTTTGTCCCATTACTATTTGACTTTATATACTACTAGACATCAGGTAGTTTACACAGCAGTAGCACAAGTAAAATGTAGACAGTATGTACAAATGCAACAACTAAATTTGCTTTAATACTATAATCAAACCATGCTCTGCAGTCATGTTTGCAAGCTAATTGTCACATAGTATATATGTGACAGGTTTCTGTTACATATATAATATTTCTTACTGAGCAACATTTATTCAAACAGAGGTAAAAATCACAGGACATAGGAGAACTTACTCAGCTAAATACTAATGAACTGCTATAAAAAGAACACAGAGCTTAAGTCTCACAAAACTGATTATGGCCCTTGTTTTGTTTGATGTGGTCACCACTGACTTATATTTTGTCATAAGTAAAGTCCAGTACTAGCAAAGGAAGAGTAAATCTAAGGTTCTCTGTTTCTTATTTTTTATCATCAATACATACAGTAAAACAAAAAAACAGTCTTCAGAATAATTATCATCTTATGACATTGGTCTGAACCTTCTTCCCGTAGCCTTTATGGCTTTCCTTGTCTGACACATTGACTTGGTGGCCATGAAGAAACATTCTTAATTTGGATTAAATTCCCCTGCTCTCCAGGTACCATCTACTGCACCCAAAGATTATACAGAGAAATGTTTATTCCTTCTCTGCAACGCTGAGACCTAAGATAACAATAGATGTGAGACAAAAGTAAACTGATGAGTTAAGAAGTGAGATAGTGCTTTAGTGTTGTTTTTTCTTCATGACTCATTGTAGGGGTCATTCATCTGAATATTGAACTTTTTTTTTTTTTATTAATTCAAAGAATGACAAGTTCAGACTTGGGATCTAAAGGAAGTTCTATTAACAAATGCCAGGTTTGATACACCTTCCTGTAAAGAATAATTTCAGATTAAATTACTGTAACGCTATAAACAAACCCATGGTTTTTAATTTGCCTAGACCTATGTAGCTGGAAAGGTTGCAAGCCTCTTCAGACCTTTCATCACAAGTAATCTGATCTACCTCTGTAACATAATCATGAGGAAGCAACCTCTGAGCAGGTTTAGCTTTACCCCTGATTTATTTACCAATTTATTTTCTTCCCAACGTCTCACTACATTTTCTCTTTTCAGTTTTGCTGTCATTCCAGCAGTCCTGAAAAAAATCATCACCTTTAGACAACACTGAATGATAAGGAGGGCAGGAGCAAGGTCAGAAGTCCTCTTCCACTGACCTAGAGAAAGGGTCACAGTAATGTTAAAATTACAGACCCTTTACAAGGTGATCAAACAAACCATCCAGAGCACAGGGGTTTGATACTATCATGATATATTGTACTGCTTCTCTGCTCTTCTCTTGCATCCTATTCTTCATGTCAGCGGGAAACAGAATTCACAAGATTGTAGCCTTCTGAACACATCAGGAAGTTATAGCCTTGTCCTTTTCAGTCTCCTGCTGGTTCAAATAACAGAAACCAATACAAGGGATAGTTCAAAGACCTTATGAGTGACTGAAACAAATCCAGAATCCTTGAGGTGATTGTTGGGTACCCTGCAGCAGCAAGCTTAACACAGTTGAAGTCTCCTTCAGTTTTTTCACATTCTTAACGGAATTAAAGAAGAAATCTTTATTTTCCATCTGAGTGAACAAGTCAAGACTGAGAGAGAAGGAGACTAAAATGTGGTTACCCACTCTTAAGGAGTATGAACTTACCTTTGTCATCTGCTTCTCCTAACCACTCCTGCTGACTTGGCATTTTAGGGTTTAGACAAATCGTAAACAGAAATTAAGTCTACAAACTCAAAGAAAAATATTTTTATCTATTTTTTTTCTGTGTGGATTTAGTAATAAGCTCTATTCCTTCAACAAAGCATAAGTCCTTATAGCAACCATCAGTGACTTTTCTAATCCTTAATTATTCCTTCAGTTATCTCTGACATATAAAACCATTCAAAATGAATCTGTAGTTGTTTCTTCTGTGCAGACAAGCAAAGTCTTTAGCTGCATTTTAGTCCCACTTCATTCATTTTATCAGTAACTCAGATGCAGTATTTTGCTTATTCAATTATATTTAGCAAATATTATAAAAGTTGTATAGCATCACCAAAAAAAATTTCTTAAAAATTCATTGGGAACATTTTTATCCCAGTTTTACTCTGCAAGTGTCGGAGTGCTCTGCCAACTTTCACAGAAAATCAGCACAAAGCTCTTTAGCACACGCATTTCCATAACTGGGATTTGCTAGGAAAAGTTTTTGCTTAACAGCTTATAGCCCTTGTAAAGCCAAATATGTCTTTGACATTTTTCAAGATCTTGTTGAAAATACCTGTGCATTTCTTGTAGACGCACTTGTCACAGATCCGATCATTTGAAAATTGATGCAAATAATATTAAGTAATGTTTCTACCTCTGAAGAGTACTTTATCTTGCAGATTCTCATTTATTGCATTTATACACATTTGACAGTCAGCTAGCATAACCTTTAATCACACCTTTCATAATCAAATGATGTATAGGGGTAGAGCTGAGCTACTGTGATGAGGAGTTATTCCTTTAGAAGCATAAGACCGATCTTATGTTAGTTCACTTTAACACGCCGTTTCCACTGACTTATTGCCATTTCTAAGAGTTACCACAGCACTGCTTAATAACAATGTGTAGTTTCTGACATTTATTTATAGAATACTAAAACCAAAATCCGGTTGGATGGTAAGAGTTTCAGACCACCTGAGATGTCTTTAAATCTTCAGCATGTTTAGTTGCAGCAAAACCAGCCACGAGCCCAAATATGCAATCATCTCACAATTGGCTGATTCAGCCTTTAAAGTTATAGATTCATTTCAGGCAACTATTTTTCCCAAGTGTCTTTTAAAAAAATAAAAATGGTTTGCTGTGAATCTTCTTATCAATGAAGTGATGGAGAAATACTTGAAAAAGCAGTGATTTTTTTAAATTTTATTTTAAAGCAAAGCCATGTGCGCACCATAAATTGATGGATCCTCCGGAACCAAAGAAATTTTTTTTCTTTCACACTGCCTTGCATGAAACAAGAACTCTATGTTAAGTGTGAGACAGCATCAGTTATTTGTTTAGTTTTATGAGTGTGTAGTTCTGAACTAAAGATATATATCATGTGGTTACTACTTTAGAAAAACTACCTTTGAAAATTTACTTTTAAAAATTATTTCCCAAGTATCTGAACGGTATTTCATATTGGTAATAAAATGACAGTGTAAGCAACACCATTTTTAGTAACCATGAGACAAATCAGCCCCCTCTTCCTCCATTTGTATTGTCATTTGAAGTGAAGGACACTCTTTGTTCCCTGTCCAGCAAAGCACTTAAGCATTTGTAGTCTCCTTGACTTCAGCAGCATTATTCATGGGCCTGTGGTGAAACATGTGCTTAAGTGCTTTTGTAGATCAGAGTGCTACTGAGCAAGGGCAGCCAAGCAGAGCCTCTACTGCTGGAAATGCTGCAATAGCAATAGTACAGTTTTTCAGGAGCAATGGCTTTTGAAGTTTTAATAATAAATTTAAATGCAAAGGGAATTGTGAAATACATCACTTTGCTATTTTAAAAAAGATAATTAAAAGAAACTTTATAATAACTAATGTTAAAAAGCAGAGAAACAATTGCTGATTTGACAAACAAATCTACCTGAGACAGACTGACCCTTGTTGTGAACTGAGATGATAGGTTCATAATACAGAAAATTTCCTGACAGGTGCTGGGACTCCAATTTCTACTAGTTTCATACTAGTGTTAAATATTTTTAAGTTGACTTATGTCGACCCTCAATTTCTTATACAGACCTTCAAACTGGTTTTTTACTCCACCAATAAACAAATTTACTATAGCAAATAAGCAAAATCTCCATCACACAAACATATCTGCAAATAAGTAACGGTTATTGTAAATAAACTTTCTCACCTCTATAGCCTTTGAACTTATGGACTGAACAGTTTAAGCGTTTTAAATTACTTTGTGATAGTCTGCCAAACAGGCTCTCATCCCACAGATGCAGACTAGCTGAGGTTTTCCAGTTACAAGAATTTCTTTTTGTTCACAGTGTGCCAGCTCTGAAACAAAAACCAAGCAAATAAACAAACAAAAGAAAAAGTTAAAAGAATGTTTCCTTGTCTTCCTTGTCTTTGTTAGGGGAGAAGAAAAAAAGGAAAAGCATACTCATTGCAGAAGACAGCAGTTCAGCAAATCTGTGGGATTTACCTTTTCCTTTTTTAATTTGGTTTAATTTTAGAAATGTAATCACATTTGAATTTAAACTAATGAAGGCCAAACCAGAATAAACTGAGAAGTAAATAACTGTTTAAACTCAGGATTTTCACAAAGGGTACTTATAGTCATTGTTATTATCAGGGAAATACAGATGACATAAGTGTATTCTGTGAGAATTGCTCTTGAAAATGAAAAAGAATCTTATTTTTAATTCTTGTAATTCCTACAAGAATCTTATTTTTAATCAAATACACTTTACTTTTCAAGCAGGAAGCCCATTTGTTATTGCAAATGTTTTTGCTAAGTGATGGAATGTGCAGTCAATTGAATCCTGGAATTCAGTTTGTCCATGCTAGGCAAGAAAAAGCTTTTGGGTTCAAGCATGCACTTTATTACAAGGGGAGGCACTTAAATGCATGAAGAGGAGACCCTGCATTTTATATCAGAAGACTGGAATGCATCTTGCAGTGTGGGACTTTGATGTTATTCAT